CCCTCCCCCCAAAAAAAAAAGAAAAAAAAGAAAAAAAATTGAAAAACTATACTCGTCCCATTCATTAGCTCTACATTTTCCAGATTATCTATGTATGTGTTTGTTTTTGTTTATGTTCTTATTATGTTGTTTTCATGTTTGTGTCATCACTTTATGTTTCTCTTCAAACGGTATGTGTAAGAAGGGTTACATAACATTGGATGATTGGTGCTATATTGTGAAAGATCCTATAAGATGCATCATTGTGTTGTCTTTTGGTTTAGTTGAAGAGGTTTAGTTACTTTTAAGATAACATTTTATAAACCACTAAAACAGTAACATTTTAAGATGAAGAGATTTTAGTTACTTTAGTTTCAAAAATAAGGATGTTTTAGTACTAAATATTATGTGTTGCCTCTTTTTTTCCTCCGTAGAATTGACTCATGCCATTGCCATCTTCTAAATTCACTAAGTGGCTCATAATCAGGCAAGCCAAAGCACAAATTAATAGCTAAGTCAAAGTTCGACAAAATTTTGCCCAGTTCTAAACTTGTTCATATCATATAAATAATGTATTCAAATATCAATCAAATGCTAAAAAAACATCACCACACTGAATCACACATTACTCTATAGAGTCAGTCCTCACTGGATTCGTATTCCTGAGAGTTTTACTTTCATCTGGCTTACAACACAAAGAAAACAACGCATACAACACTAAAAACAACACGACTTTAACACGAATCTTGATTAGCTAGTAAAGAAAGTCGTAAATAAATCATTAACCAACAAATCTTGAACGAATTACTGTCTCGACAATTTGTGCTCGATTTTGATGTTGTAGAGATCCTCCAATGGCTTTTCTACCCTTATTGCTTGTACGAACGAATGATGTAAATGGATCAAGGTAAGTAATCGTCAAAAAACATGAAACATGTGTGGAAAAGATTCAATCTTTCGTAGAGAAAACCAGATGCTTTTTCCCTTCACCTGGATTAGGACAGAAAATGCTTCAAAACAAGAGTAAAAAGACTATCCAAAAACAGTACAACTTCACTACTTAACAACAATATATACAATTTATACCAATGGCAGATTATAGCTCTACATAAAGAGACAAAGTTAAAAACTGACTACTGTATGAGCACTTCATTTACTTTTTTCATTGAAGATTCCATCTGTCCAGTTAATAAGGATGTAAAATTCTTCGGAAAAAAAAAAAAAGGATGTAAAATTCTTGCACTATCTTACTCACTCAAACTTCAATCGAAAACCCATTTGCAGAACACAAGAATCGTGGCAAACAGAAGTTTAAGTAAGCTGAAGACCCTAATTTTACAGAAAAGCCAATGCTTACCCTTTTTCAGCGTGGTGTGCAAAAACGAACCTTGATTAAACCCTTGAACCAGCGTAGTAAAATAGAGAGGGTTTATTTTTATCCACAAAGACAAGCGGCCACTCAGTTCAGAAATCGGATCGAGATCTTTTCATGTTTGTCCTCAATATTTGGTCTTTTTCTGAGTAGGTCCCTCAAGTTTTCAAGACATACAGTTAACACCTCACCGTTGCCTTTTGAGTTTTGACTATTGATCTCGATTTTGTTTACGTGTCTACTTCAAGGCTTCAAAACTTTTCAAATGATAAAGCTCCAAAAGCTCATCCGAGGTGGTAATGAACTAATGATCATTTGCTTTGGTGATGCAGATGAGAAATGGTGGATTATGTCTCTCTCATGGGTCATTTGCAGCTCTTCCTCCTCTGCGAATAAGAAGAAATTTTTACCCATTAGCACAACTCACTGCTCCCTCAAGAACTCAAGTATCATCTTTTCCCCTGCTTTTTTTTAGATGTTGGGTAGCTTTTTGGTGTTCTTTTTGGCCCTTTGAGTTTTTATCTCAATATTTTTTTTATTTTCAGTAACTACACTTGCCTATATAGTTATGAGAAAGCTTTGTAATTTCTTTTTATTTTTATTTTTTTGGTTGCAGATGAACTATTAGTTTATGATAGGTGGGTTGTGGTTAGTGTGTATTTTCTATGATTGCCTTTGAAGTTTAATTTGGACTTGATTTGCTGTTGTAGAGGATAATGGAGAGTATATCAGTAAGTGGGGAAGTTGGAGGTGCTGGTGGGGTTTACTCATACAATGCTTTGAAAAGATTGGATGGCTTGTGGTCTAGCATTTGCTCTGCTTCACCAGGTGTGTGCAAGTTTGTGGGCT